TTTTTTTTTTTTTTTTTTTTGTTAATTCGATCTTGATCTTTGGTAAAGTGAAAAAGGGACTACATTGCATCCGCACGAACCTCCGGATAATATCCATGACTTGTAGAAGGCATGGTGCATGAAGTATGAGTAGACCGACACAATTTTCCAATTTTGGTTGGTTTTCCCGGCACGTAATTGATCAAAAAGTCGCACTTAAAGCTTAGTAAGTCCCGATAAGTATAACTAAGAGGCGATCGTGTTGCTCAATGAACGCGAGAATTATTTAATTGAAGTTGCTTAGTGAAGAGAGTTACATTCATATACCATTTCCTCTACCTGTTCTATACCTAATTTTGTGAAATGACCAGAGGCCTCCATTATTATAAACCATAGCAACAAAAGAAGAAATGTATTGAATGAAAAAGAAAGGGCTGGCTGGAAAATCAGGGCTCTTGTTTCTTCACAGTGCTGACTGGAAAAGCATCTCAGCAAGTTCCTGAAACATTGCACAAAAATCAGCTAGGCTCACTGAGTTTGGTTCGGATTAGGAGCATTCCTGAGTTCGGTTCGAACGGGCCAAGGAAGTCCAGTTTGAGTTACACAAGTTCGTAACTGACTGCACCCGTTCGGACTAGGAGCACTCCTGAGTTAGGTAGGAACGGCTAAGGAAGTTTGGTTTGAGTTGCACAAGTTCGTAACTGACTGCACCCGTTCAGACTAGGAGCACTCCTGAGTTAGGTTGGAACGGCTAAGGAAGTTAGTTTGTAACTGACTGCACCCGTTCGGATTAGGAGCACACCTGAGTTTAGTTGGAACAGGCTAAGGAAGTTTAGTTTGAGCTGCACAAGTTCGTAACTGACTGCACCCGTTCGAACGGACTAGGTGCATTCCTGAGTTCGGTTTGAACGGGCTAAGGAAGCTTAGTTTGAGTTACACAAGTTCGTAACGTGATTAGATGAAAGACTCAACCCAACCCAATCATAAAATGAATTTGGTTCAAATTGAATCTAAACTCGGAAGAATCTCTCAACCATCAGTGATCCAGTATAATTTGGGTTAGCTAAAGTATCAGGTCGGGTTATATGAATACTCATCATTTGCACCATCCCAGGGCGACCCGGTTCGACCAAGGCCCCAATGGTGCCACAGTTCAAGCAGAACAACAACAAACAAGGAAGCTTACCTGCTTGGCAGAAGGAACCTTTGGCTCTCCCCATTCCATGGCCTTCTTCTCAAGATATTCAAAATCAGCCTTACCAGCCTGAACAAAATCAAGAACATTATATATTAAACCGTTAAAAAATAGTCGAAATACATAACGAACGGAAGCTCATTCGAATAAGTCACCTCTATTTGTGCGCCAATTTCAGTGTCGAAACTCTGGTATCTCTTACGAACAAGCTCCGTTAAAGAACCATCCTTTTTCAAGATATCACCATTAAACGTCGTTACTGGTTAGAACCAACCCAAAAACACGAAACTCGAGTGGAATAAAGACGCTACCTCAATTAGCTTGGCAACATTTCGGAGTCCACGAGCAAGGGTATCCATTCCACTAATGTGAGCAATAAACAAATCTTCAACATCGGTACTCTCTCTTCGCCTGTCGATAAGCACCGACGCAACAATGAACAAAAAAACGTCATAGAGAGAGTAATCAAATTCAGAAGAGAAAGAAACCAACTTACAATTTCGCATCAAAGTTGAATCCACCAGGTGCTAACCCTCCCTGTCCACAGAAGAAAACAGTTATTAGATATTCATTCGCGTCGTTGTTAGAGCCATTTACAGCGCTTACAAACCGAACAAAGATATATTACATACATTTTTCACCACACTGAGCATAACCATAGTAGCTTCACCAATGTCGGTCAGAAACTGATCGGTATCCCAACCTGTGACATAAAATAGCTAAAGTTAGTACTCTACCCTCCTATGCCCTTCGAATGTCTTGCCGTTCCAGTTGTTTCAGGTTCCAGGTTCGGTCAATACCAACTTGAGGGTCGCCAGTGTTCGCATCAATGTTTCCGAGAATCCCATTGAGCCTAGCAGTTTCAAGTTCATGGTGGCAACTGACAGTGACATACGAGAAAAAAAGTTCAGAAATCGATTGCAGCTAAAAGATAATCAAAATCGAACGTTTCTAATGGATTTCCTACCTATGACCCGATAGCGTGGCGTGATTGCATTCAATGTTAAGCTTAAAGTCGTCTACAAAAGAGGGGAATAAAGATCAGAATAAAAAATGTAAGAACATCAAGATAAAAATGATTAGATTATTACCAATAAGACCATATTTTCGCAGGAAATTAGCCGATGTAGCAGCATCCCAATCGTACCTGATAAAACAAAACCGTTCATAAGCATAGATGTTCACGAACCACAACCCAATACCGCGGGCGTTTAAAAGGGTTAATCAACATGATTAAAGAGAAAGTAAATAGAAAAGAACGTAAAGAAACGCACTGATGTTTCGTAGGCTCTTGGGGTTTCGGTTCGATCAGCAAAGTTCCTGCAAAGTTCAAGAAAAAAGAACTCTTTAGCCAGATGTGAATTTTTGGCGTGATGAAATATTTGGGAATCAATCATACCATTGAAACCAATCTTCTTCTTATAGGCAGCAGCGGCCTGAAGAAACCTGGCCTGCAAGAAGATTATAAGCGACCTTTATCGCTCCAAACGGTAGACACGATCGTTAAGTAATAGCTGAAGACTTTGTAGTAACTCACCATATGGTCGAGCTCTCTCCCCATGTCGGTGTTCAGAAGAGACTGATAACCCTCACGGCCGCCCCAGAAGACGTAGTTTTCTCCCCCCAAATGATGAGTGACCTGACAAAACGTATATCAGCGTTTTGAAACCGAACTAAGCATAGTAACTTATAATACATGTCTTCACACTCACCTCCATTGCTTTCTTGACTTGAGCAGCAGCATATGCATAAACACCAACTTCAGAGCTGCAGGAAAGTCGAAATGCTCAAATGCTGATACCGGGAACACCAGGCTATGGATAACAAAGGTCTAAACGTATTACCTCGTCGCAGCACCATGCATGTAACGAGGGTGCATGAATAGTTGTGCTGTACCCCACAAAGGTTTAATTTTGGTTCCCTGCATAGCCCCGGGAGATAATAAATAACAACAAAAGTATTCGGGTGTTGATTTGTGATTCATTTTCTACTATTACAAGAGACAATCGATTCGAGTTATCAGAGAAATGAACTCGCATTTCCCTATTTCATAAGACACCCAGCTGAAACACAATGCATTTATCAAAACGGCACCCGAACATATAACGAATACAATTACCTGAAGCTCTTTAGCAAGGGCCACGACCGCATCAAGGTTTGCATTAGTTTCCTATAAAAATCATACAAACAGAGCAGAAACTTAGTTAGCAAATTTAACATTCACAAACACGCAAAAGGGTCGAATACAAGAAACGAAGCAAAACCTCCAAAGTTAGTGCATCTGGGGCTATATCTCGGTCATGGAAGCACCAAAATTCAACCCCAAGTTTCTTAATGAACTCGAAATTAGCTCTCACTGCAAATCCAAGACATAAACTCACATCAGTTAAATCGATAAGGCCATATTTACCAAACACTACAGATCGAGGTTATGGATTCATCTCTTACTCCTCCTCTTCGCCATAGCCACTGAATTGGTACCATCTTCCCATGGCCAATACTTGGTAGCAGCACCAAATGGGTCTCCTCCTGTCCCACGGAACGTATGCCAAAACGCAACACTGAACCTCATCCAATCCTATGGTCACAATATTTCCTATCAGAAACAATTACAACACATGCTTTGAATCCCAAAGCACACTAAGAACAAAGAAACAACACCTTCATTTTCTTCCCAAGAATTTCCTCATTAGCATTATACCATTTAAATGCCAGTGGATTTTTGCTTGCAGGACCCTGTTATGTAACGAGAATACAAATAAGAAAACAACATTGTTCTTATTATCCCCAAGAACAATCCAAATTTATCTAACATTCTAGGAAGAATTCATTACAATTCAAAGAAAATTGATTCTATGTAAGAACACCAACAAACCTCATATACAATCTTGTTAATACCAGGGAAAAATTCCCCCTCCCAATCCCCAGAATGACTGCATTCGTTATTTGCATCAGCAGGACATGTGGGAGGCTCAGCAATCTGCAAGAATCCCAAAACACATTCAAACAAGCATGAACAAAACCCCAGAAAAAACCCACAAAAGTGTAATCATATTCAATACAGATTCAACCAGTACGATCAAAAAAGATGAAAATGCTCACCGCTCCAAGCAAGAACACATTCAAACACAGAAACAGAGCCAAAACTTCACGGGATTTCATTTTTACACCCAATTTCTGCAACATTCACCACAAAAACACCTCGATCAGAAACAAAAAACAAACAATCAATCATCAACAATCGAATCCAAAATCAATCAATTTCCCAGTGATCGCAAAAGAATCAGGAAAGGGAAATGGATATACATCAGAAATTAGGCGATAAAAAGCAAAACCCATGATCAAAACTGCAAAAATCAGAAGGGTAACACTAAAAATTCATCGTCCCAGACGAGAAAAACGAAGAATCAAACTCACAAGATCGAAATGACCCTCGAAGAACTACAAAATATCAGTCACTGACGGTGGGTTTCTAAGGCTCGAATATATAGTGGGAGCAATCCAAGGATAAAACTTCAAATTCTTTTTTTAGATAAAAGTTAAAGTCAGAATTCACAAAACCCGTATGGGATAGAGATCCAAATTTGACGCATATGGAAGCGGCTCTGTATTCCTGATAACGGATATAATCAACAAATTTCAGGGGTAGTTTCGTCTTTACACTTTGATTAATTAGTTCAGATTTTGTAGATAAATTGGAAGCATAAATCAAAATGAGTTGTGAGAGGAAAGGATAAACTCACTGGTAGTTTGACTGAAAGACGATTATGTGTCGTTTTGCTATTGGGCTGTGATGTGTGTTCCGTAACCATAGAAATTTGTTAAAAAAATAGCGTAGACCTGACGTGGCAGATGGGATATTTAATTGTGGATAAGTACGCTGAGTCAGCTTTAAGGATTAATAAAAACTGATTAAGAAATTTATAAATGTGAAAATTAATTTCTTTAACTTTTTACTCTATTTTAAATATATTCATATTTTAAAATGTTGAACGGAAACCGGAATTGTTTCAAAAAAAAGGTCGGAATAGGGCGTACAAAAAGTTCGCGCCCTTCTTTATCTCTAAAAACAAGGTGTCCTAACCACCCAACAGCTATTCCATCCTTGTTGTCCATAGAACCCGCTCTGAATAATCATAAAAAGCTAATTTTTCAGGAATTTTAAACCAAGCTTTGAATAAACTTTGATTTTCGGCTAATCTGGCACTAACCCTTCGATATATTTCTTGCTGGAAGTATCCCTGATCCCATTACCAGTAGGAGAGGTCCCTCGATCAATAACACGCTGGTCAGGAAGTCCCCTGAAGAAGCCTTTTGTTTGTTGTTTGCTAGGGGACGAGAAGTGGAATACGTGATCTTTCTTATTCCTGGGGATAAGGGTTGGACCCGGTAAGACTTTCTTGCCCGAAAGCGAGAACCCATCCCGGTAAGGTTAATAGTTTGATTCCTTAGGATATGAATGATCTTGTTCCCTATATTAAATAGACCAATATCGCCTGCATGTCACCCAAGGCCTAGTGAAGGTGGTTTGAGCTCATTTTGTCTATCTTCCTAATTTTCCGGAGAAGTAATAAATAGAGTGAAATAGTGAAGAGTTGCTCTGTAGCTCTTGCTTGGATAGAGACGAGGATGTGGGTGAAGTGAGCCGAAGAGAGGAAGAAGAGAGAGCGAAGACTTGCTCTTGCTATTGCAAGTTTTTGTTTAGCAGCTAGCCGGTTAGGAGTGCAACGTTAGGAGCGCAGCGAATTTGCTAGTCTAGACCTCTATGCCTTATTACTAGTGTATTGGTGCTTATGAGGGCTTGTGGCTGTGTTAATTCCTATTTCGTTTGCTAAGCGATAGCCCACCCACCTACAAGTAGGTTCAATAAGGAAGAAACTTGAATCACTATCTCAGAGAAAGAAAGAAGATTGACTGGCCTGGTGTCAGGTAAGGAAGAACGCCGCTGCGTCATTGGAAGGTAGTGCCTTGCCTCTTCTATTGACTATAGAGTAGCAGAGCTTTAAAGCAGCGTAAACGACCATGGAAATATGGATTGATGATGCTAACTCCCCTTTCTTTAAATAGTTAGATGGGGCCTGGCGAACTACCATTGATGGATTGAGGCTGGCATACGGTCGGTACCATTTAACGATCGATTTCGTCCGGATAGAAAAGAAAAAAGAAGTAAACAAAAACCTTTCCAGGTCCTGTAATGGTTTCGCTTTTGTTCGCTTACCCATGCTTTTCTCGTGCACGCCCGTAAGATGAACATGAATTACACATGCAATTCTACAGTCTGACTTTCTTCTTCCTACGGGAATTAGATAACTGCTTGCCAAGGGGCATTCAACCGCTACTTCCTCACTTGATTTCCTCTCTATCTTCTCTTGTATGGGGATAAAGGCTATTGGGATAGATTCCCCGTATCTTTCTAAGGATCTTCGTCAGACGATAGACTGGTTTCCAGAGCTAACTAAACTCGACTATAAAGATTTTAGCATGAATAGCTTGAAACTAAGCATTCTTACCTGAAGAATTCTTGTCTATCTTCCCTGTCTTGAAACTGACAGGCCTGGAAGAGAAGAATGAGGGTTTTTTCTAACTATCTAATTNACCCGGTAAGACTTTCTTGCCCGAAAGCGAGAACCCATCCCGGTAAGGTTAATAGTTTGATTCCTTAGGATATGAATGATCTTGTTCCCTATATTAAATAGACCAATATCGCCCGCATGTCACCCAAGGCCTAGTGAACGTGGTTTGAGCTCATTTTATCTATCTTCCAAATTTTCCGATAACGAGTGGGACCAAATAATTCAATCGGGTAGTTGCTGAACTATACCACATAATTCTAGCAACAACAAAAACTGCAAAAAAGATAGCAGTCATACTACTCGAAATGACGGTTTCAATATTTCCCATACGTAATCCTTTGTATAAATTATAGACGTTGGGCCAAGCCCACCGCTAGCGGATATTGTTCTGTCTGTGTTCTTTTAGACTTTCGCTTAAAGTTTTTACAACACGTCTGTTAGTAGAAGTTTCCACGCCCTTATAAATAATGTTTCATTCTCTTCTTCAACCCACGTGGGATATCACATGAACGAAAGCTTATTTTACACAATTTTTTCAGATAAAATTTAGGAAACATCAATAAATTAGTTTTTCACATAATGAATGACCCGTTAGGGTTTTCTGTTTGGACTGCAAGGTCACATATACGTAGCTACAGATTTTTTTTATACATTTTTTTTAGCTTTAGTACAATTTCTAATGAATATAGTAGGAGATTAAAACAAGAAATTATGAAAGTGCTACTTTTTTAAAAAAAAGGAAAAAATAATTATTAAAATGTTAATTAAAAGTGAATATTCATATTATAATTTTTAAATAAATAAAGATATTTTAAAAATAAATGAAAATAATTTATGAGAAATTTTTTAATATATTATTAAAAATTAGTGAAAAAAATGAGAAAAAAAGACCATTTTTTAATTTAGGTATTATTCTTTTTTTTATTTATTTGAAATACAGTCGAAATAACTTCGTACAAGGATGAAATAAATTTATTTCTAATTTTATTTATTTTATTGGATATTTTTTTTTTTAATATATACCTCTTTGAAATAATTTATTACTATTTCATGACAATAAAAATTTAATTAAAAAAACATTATTTTAAAATTTTAATTCTATCTCTAAATTATTTTCTTATTTAAGAAAATAAATATTAAAATTAGAATTATACCTTTTAAAATACCTTATTTTTTTAGGTATTAAAACACCTTATAATTTCATTAGTTTTTCGAAAAAAAAAAAAATGGTCCGTTAAGTTTCTTAGGCTGACTTTTTGATTCTTCAAGTTTTATCATTATTAGATCCATCTCGCCTTTGGGCTCCTTATTCTTAGTTTCATTTTGTGAGATCTCACGTTAGTTCAGCTTCAAGTAAGTTTTCTTTTTCTCTTTTGCAAGTCATTTCTGTTAGACGAACACGACTCTAGCCAAGAGAGCTTATTCTCAAAGTGGACAATATCATACCATTGTGGAGAGTCGTGTTCGTCTAACATGGTATCAGAGTCATGCCCTAAACTTAGTCGAGCCAATAGATTGGTAAATCCTCAAACATCGAACAAAGAATTCCAAAAGAAAAGGAGTCGAGCCTCCTCGAAGGCAATAAAAAATGACTAAGACTCCAAAGGAGTCGAGCCTCGATTAAGGGGAGACGCACTTTGTTCGAGGGGAGATGTTGGATGATGAAAGTCCCACATCGGCTAATTTAGGGAATGATCATGGATTTATAAGTGAAAAATACTAACTCGATTGATGTGAGGCCTTTTGGGAAGCCGAAAGCAAAGCCATGAAAGCTTATGCTCAAAGTGGACAATATCAAACCATTGTGGAGAGTCATGTTCGTCTAACAATTTCTTCACCTCGGAAGCATACGAAGATCGCCTTCATGTTCGTCTAACAATTTCTTCACCTCGGAAGCATACGAAGATCGTCCAAACGTCCAAATGGGTGAAGTCGATTATAAGGGCGTGGCAGAGGTAATAAATTAGGGTTATCAAGACTAATTTCTTTAGAACAAGTCGAGAGAGTAGGCAGAGGTCATAAATTTTAGACTAATTTTTTTAGAACAAGTTGAGAGAGTAAGCAGAGGTAATAAATTGAGGTTATCAGGACTAATTTTTTACAAGTTGAGAGAGTAAGCAGAGGTAATAAATTGAGGTTATCAGGACTAATTTTTTAGAACAAGTCGAGAGAGTATGAAGAAGTAATGAATTGAGGGTTATCAAAACTAATTGTTTTAGAACAAGTGGAGGGAGTAGGCAGAGGTAATAAATTTGAGGTTATCAGAACTAATTTTTTTAGAATAAGTCGTAGACAGAAGTAATAAATTAGGGTTATCAAGACTAATTTTTTTAGAACAAGTCGAGAGAGTAGGAAGAGGTCATAAATTTTAGACTAATTTTTTTAAAACAAGTTGAGAGAGTAAGCAGAGGTAATAAATTGAGGTTATCAGGACTAATTCTTTTAGAACAAGTTGAGAGAGTATGAAGAAGTAATGAATTGGAGGTTATCAAGACTAATTTTTTTAGAACAAGTCGAGTGAGTGGGTAGAGGTAATAAATGGGGGGGTTTATCAGGACTAATATTTTTATAACAAGTTGAGAGAGTAGACAGAAGTAATAAATTTTAGACTAATTTTTTTAGAAAGGGAGTGGGCAAAGGTAATAATTTGGGGGTTATTAGGACTAATTTTTTTAAAACAAGTTGAAGGAGTAAACAGAAGTAATAAATTTTAGACTAATTTTTTTAGATAATTTTTGGAGTACAATTCCAGAGGGAGTAGACAGAGGTAATAAATTGGGGGTTATCAGGACTAATTGTTAATAAGTCGAGGGAATAGGAAGAGGTAATAAATTGGGGTTATCAAAACTAATTTTTTAGAACCAGTTGAGGGAGAAGGTAGAGGTAATAAATTTGGGGTTAACAGGACTAATTTTTTTTAGAACAAGTAGAAGGAGTAGGTAGAGATAATAAATTGGAGATTATCAGAACTAATTTTTTTAGAAAAAATGGAGAGAAA